ACATGCTGCTGCTCCTGTCCTTCCCCCCCTTCCACCCAGGACGGCGAAGACGACGGCAGAGGAAAGGAGGCGGGAGGGGCCCGGGCCTGCGTGCAGCTCGGCCTGCGCGGGCAGACGCTGTACCGCCGCTCCATCTCCCGCAGGAACGCTCGCAGGCCGGGGGGGGGGAACAAGGGGGGGGGGGGGGGCGAAGGGGGGGGGGGGGGGGGAGGGGGGGGGGGGGGGAGGGGGGGGGGAGAGGGGGGGGGGGCGAGGGGGGGGGGGGCAAGCTAGGTGCGCTCGCGTCATATCTGACATCCTACCCCTCCCTCCCATCCGTTTCCATGGCGCAGATCCCCTCTCTACTCGCTCAGTCGGACGTCGAGCAGGGCAATGATCCCGAAAGGGTACGCGATGCATTGTAGAGCACGGCATGGCATGGCATGGCGAAGAAGAGCACCGCAAAGCGTAGTATCAACCTAGCATTGCATTGCATTGCATTGCATGCCGTGGCATGGCACGGGAAATGATGCCAGCGCTGCAGCGGGAGCACAAGTCGAAACGCGCGGAAATGAGGCCAGCGCTGCAGCGGGAGCACGATTCGGAACGAGCGGAAGCACGGAAATGAGGCCAGCGCTGCAGCGGGAGCACGATTCGGAACGAGCGGGGCCCGAAAATGAGGCCGGCGCCTCAGCGAGAGCAGCATTTTGAAAAAAATGCAGGCGAAAACCCAACATCGGGAAACCTGTGTGTAAAAAACAATACGCGGGGGGGGGTCGGCCACTTTCAAACCGTCATCAGGGGAAAAGGGAGAGTAGTAATTATGCATATTGAATATTTGTCGAGGGGGGGCGAGGGGGAGGGGGCGAGAGGGGGGGGGGGGGGGGCGCCTCCGGCTGCGCGGAGGCAGCCCTCTCAGATTGTGTCCCTGGCTGGTCTGCCCCCCCCCCGCACAGACCCCGCTGGCCTCCTCGGCAGGTCGTCCCCCGAGCAGCCCAGGGCGGCCTCGACGCCCTGGCGCCGCGATGGGCGCTCCGCGCCACAGGGCCCGTGGTGCTGAAGCCGCCCTGGGCTGCTCGGGGAGCCCGCGGAGGCCAGCTGGGGCTCCTCGGAAGGGGGCCTGCGGAAGTCAGCGGGGGCCGCCCGGGGCCGGGGCCTGCCTCTCGAGGCATCCGGAGACCTCTGGAGACGTCAGGGAAGGCAGGGGACGGGGAGGAGCGTGGAGGGCAGGAAGAGCGGCACAGCCCACACCGCATCATCCGCGGAGAGCGCCACGCCTTTCGATGCACGAGGACGGGCGCTTCGAGGCATTGCGGCGGCTTGCAGCTCGGGCTCTCGGAAATGGAATTTGCTTCCCAGGGGAGGGCGCTTGACTGCGATAGGGAGGCATGAGCTAATTTCGCCTGCGCTGGTTTCGCCGGCGCTGGTTTCGCCCCGCTGGTTTCGCCGACGGCTGGTTTCGCCGGCGCTGGCTTCGCCGACGGGTGGTTTTCGCCCCCCCCGCTGGTTTCGCCCCGCTGGTTTCGCCGGCGGCTAGTTTCGCTGGCGCTGGTTTCGCCCCACTGGTTTCGCCGGCGGCTGGTTTCGCCAGCGCTGGTTTCGCAAGCGCTGGTGTCGCCGACGCCGTCGTCGCCGCGGGCGGGCGGACCCTAGCGGGCGGGTCGGGTCGGGTCGACCTGGACGGACGGGCGAATCCTGTCGGGCGGGCGGGACATCAAAGTGTAGGGCAAGCTCGACCAGGCACGCGCGAACCCTGACAGGCGGGTAGGGTCGGGCGGGCGGACCCTGGCGGGCGGGTCGGGCCAGGTCGGGCGGGCGGACCCTGACGGGCGGGCGGGGTATGAAAGTGTGGGGCACGCTCGACCGAGCACGCGCGAACCCTAACTGGCGTGTCGGGTCGGGCGGGCAGACCCTGGCGGGCGGGTCGGGTCTGGTCGGGCGGGCGGACCCTGACGGGCGGGTCGGGTCGGGCGGGCGGGACATGAAAGTGTGGGGCGCGCTCGACCGAGCACGCGCGAACCCTAACGGACAGGTCGGGTCGGGCGGACCCTAACAGGCGGGTCGGATCGGACGGGTGGACCCTGGCGGGCGGGTCGGATCGGGTCGGGCGGACGGACCCTGACGGGCGTGTCGGGTCGGGCGAGCGGGACATCAAAGTGTGGGGCACGCTCGACCGAGCACGCGCGAACTCTAACGGGCGGGTCGTGTCGTTCGGACCTAACGGGCGGGTCGGCTCGGGCGGGCGGGACGTGAAAGTGTGGGGCGCGCTCGACCGAGCACGCGCGAACCCTAACGGGCGGGTCGGGTCGGGCGGGCGGTCCTAGCGGGCGGGACGGGTCGGGCAGTTTCGCCGACGGCAGCTGGTTTCGCCGACAGCAGCTGGTTTCGCCGACTGAGCTGGTTTCACCGACGGAGCTGGTTTCGCCAGGCAGCGAAACCAGCCGGGCGAAACCAGCCGTCGGCGAAACCAGCGGTCGCCGCTAGGGAGGGGGGGGGGGGGGGCCGAGAGCAGCCTTCGGCGGCGGTTTCGCGCGCGGCAGTTGCATACGCAGGTTCGGGGGACACAAGCTCAAGCTTTTGCAGTCGGCTCCACACTGGCTGTATCGACGAGGCTAGCAGTAACGGGAAAGCGTTAGCGCACACTGGCCAATTTCTGGACGGGGACAGGGCTGCACGGCAACCAGCCGCGCCTGAGCGACGCCGTCGACACCGCGGCGCTCGCCAGCCTCCAGGCCAGCTCTATGGCCAGGGCGCGGTCGCACCTCAGCTTGCTGCCGCGCCAGCCTGCACAGAGTCTCTCCAGGTGCCGACCTGAGAAGCAACGGGCGCCCGTTTGCTGCATCGCCTCACGCAGGTAGCGGCGCAGCGAAGACTCCGAGTCCAGCTCCTCGGCCACGAGGACCTACACCCCGCTTGCATCAAGGTGATGGGCACGCGGCTGGACCACAACATTGCCTGCGCCTGCATTGGCGACAGGACGAGGCGCCGCGACGCGATTCAGAACTACTGGAATTTTCCGACGCGCTTGTTCTTGGCCCAGGTGGCCAGTGGCCGAGTGAAACCGGGTTTGGTTTGGGCGGTGGCGTGCGACACGACGCTACAAGTCAACGTGCGGCCCACCGGCGGGCGAGGGCCACCATCCACAATGGCCTGAAAACCGTCAGCACCAGCCCGGTTGTCCACGAACACATGAATCGCTTGCTCAGCGAGGGCTACCAGCGGGGAAGAGCAGCTGTTCCGGCACGATGCGCAATGTGGATAAGGCCGTGGGGGCGGGACCCATAGTTGAGAGGGCGGGGGGGGGAAGAGAGGCGGAGAGGGCACTGTAGGGGCGCTCGCGCTCTGTCTGACATCATACCCTCCCACCCATCCCTTCCTGGTGCGCTGTCTTTCCCAAGCCCTCCTGCGTTGGGGTCTCGTTTTGAACAGAGCTCTGTGGTCTCCCCCCCTTCCTCCTCCTCCTCCTCCTCCTCCTCCTCCTCCCTCCTCCTCCTCCTCCTCCTCCTCCTCCTCCTCCTCCTCCTCCTCCTCCTCCTCCTCCTCTCTCCTCCTCCTCACTTCCTTCCCCCTCCTCCTCCTCCTCCTACTCCTTCCTCCTCTCCTCCCTCCTCCCTCCTCCTCACCCTCCTCCTCCTCCTCCTCCTCCCTCTCCTCCTCCTCCTCCTCCTCCTCCTCCTCCTCCTCCTCCTCCCCCTCCTCCTCCTCCTCCTCCTCCTCCTCCTCCTCCTCCTCCTCCCTCCTCCTCCTCCTCCTCCTCCTCCTCTCCCTCCTCCTTGCTCATCCCTGCTTCTTCCCTCCTCCTGCCTTCTGCCTCCTCCTCCTGCACTGTTCCGTGGGTGGCTGCGAGCTGCGCAGCCAGCGTCGCTTTCGTGGGCTCCTGGGAGGCACGGCGGAGTAGCAGAGTACGCGCACCCAGGCGGGACCTCGCAGCACCCTGTGGGACTCCGAACTGCGCAACTGGCGCAGCTTTGATGGGCTCCTGGGATTCACGGCGGAGTCAAGGAGCACGCGCACCCACACGGAACCTCGCATCCCCCATGGGTGGCTCCGAACTGCGCAACTGGCGCCGCTTTGGGGGGATCGTGGGAGGCACGGCGGAGCACCCAGACGGGACCTCGCAGCTCCCTGGGCGGCTCCGAACTGCGCAACTGGCGCCACTTTGATGGGATCGTGGGAGGCACGGCGGAGTCACGAAGCACGCGCGCCCAGACGGGACCTCGCAGCTCCCTGTGGGACTGCGAACTGCGCAACTGGCGCCACTTTCGTGGGCTTCTGGGAGGCACGGCGGAGTAGCGGAGCACGCGGATGCAGATGGGACCTCGCAGCTCCGTGGGTGACTGCGCACCTGGCGCCACTTTCGTGGGCTCCTGGGAGGTTTTGCGGAGTGGAGGTCCACGCGCACCCAGCCGAGACCTCGCAGCTCCCTGGGTGGCTGGGAACTGCGCAGCTATCGCCACTTTCGTGAACTCGCGTGAGAGCCCAATGCTTCTGTAGAAGGAGCACGATGGTCGCCGCAAATGGAGAAAGGGTGGGGTATGCCTCGGGAAAGTATCTATCCGCCGACGCGCAACAGGGTACACCGTCGTGTTATGCGCAATCAGAACAAGAAAGCTGCGCACATTGAGGGAGGAGGTGGCGGGTGAGCAGGGGGATAAGCAGGAGGAACAGGAGGAGAAGGGAGGAGGACGAGGACGAACAGCAGTGGCAGGGGCTGGAGTGAAACGAGCGCGAGGAGCAGGATGACCAGGGGAAGGCATAGAAAAGACACAAGAACCCCTAAGTGCAAGAACTGCTTGGGGAATGCGGAGATCTTGCATGGGGAAACAACACGCGGAGAGGGCCCGCCATCTTCCGGACGCCATCAGGACGGAGAGAGGAGAGTAGTACTCAGATTGCTGTCACTGTAGACGGGAAAGGGAGCGGGGACGAGGACGGGAACGGGGAAGAGGAGCTAGCCAGAAGAACACGCGTGCAGGACTGAGCATCGGCCGCATGGGAGCAGGCATGCCGGCACGTGCTCTCTTTTGCCGAGGGACCGCAGTGGGATGATTACAGCTGCTGCCACCACCGAATTCGGCATCCCCCCTCACAGCACCGATGGCGCCGGACACAATCCTCCTCCGATTCCTCTATCCTCATCCTCCTTCTCCTCCTCCTCCTCCTCCTCCTCCTGCCCCTCCTCCTCCTCCTCCTCATCCTCCGCCGCCGCCGCCTCCGCCTCCACCTCCGCCTCCGCCGCCTCCTTCTCCTCCTCCTCCTCCTCTTCCTCCTCCTCCTCCTCCTCCTCCGCTACCTCCTCCTCCTCCTCCTCCTCCCAAGGGCTCCTGGGGGGGAGGGACGGGAGGTGCGTCTGCTCAGTCAGGCTGCCGCGGTCGGTCCCCACCCTCCGCCAGAGCGTCCAGGCGAGGGCGGAGGCCGAGATCGATGCGGTTGCCGTGGCCGTCCTGGTCGAACTGCGTGCTGATCTCCACTGGGCTCAGCCGCTTCAGCACGTCGTGGTTGTAGTCCTCGATGCAGCGGACGTCGCGGGGGATGCTGGGCCGCCCGTTCCGCAGGATCGTGCGCAGGAGCAGGCTGCTGCTGCCGAAGCACAGGAACATCAACAACTTGTCCTTGAAGGGTGTGGAGCGCGCTGGGCCCATCACAAACGCCGCGAGGTAGCCGTTGCAGAAGACCGCAATGGTTCCGACCATCACGATCACCACTTGCCAGCTGCCGATGCCAGCAGCGTACTCGGGGTATGGTCGACCCGTGACGAGCAGCATGCGCAATTGGACCAGACGGTACTCCGCCAGCAAAATTGGACCTGCGATGACGATCATGGTGGGGTTCACCATGCCGAAAACAGAGATCCACGCAAAGCCAAGAATCAGCTCCAAGAAATCTTCCACGAAAGAACCTCCAAAAGAATAATACTCATATTTGGCATGCACCTGGCGCTTCGCTTGCACCTGCAAGGCAGTATAGTGAATAGTGCGAGGCGAAGCACCAGCCGATTGGTCCAAATTACGACGTGCTGACCGAACCTCTTTTCCGATATCGTTCCGAACTTGGACCAAAGGGTACACTAAAAGCACAACTGTCATGACGACGTGCACGATGAACTGAGTGCTAATCTGGGCAATAAGCTCGTCATGGCAGTTCGTCTCACAGTCTACAGCGGCCGTGTGGCCTTGAATTGGTTCACAATTCGACACAGGAAGGCAATACGCTACACAAACCTCGTCTGCACCACGCAAGGCCGTGGTTATGGACATGTAACGGAAGGCCATCTCGTACCGAGTCAACCTGTACGGGCCCAGCAAATCCTCGAACGTAGTGACGTTCAAGACGCCTGGCTCGCCGGCGTTCTCCCCACTGGGCCACTGCATGTCCATGCTGGGGTCGTGGCCCTCCAGCGACAGGTCTCCGTACGCGAGCTCCACTGCCGCCCTGAAGTCGGGGCCGCAGTACGCCATCGTCAGCTTGTCGAATAGGAATCGGCCCGCCCCGCAGGGGCAGAGGAACAAAACATATAGGAGACGTAAGCGGGAAGGAAAGAACGAGTCAGAGGACCAGGGAACGCCAGGGAGGAGCATACGTAAATGGGACTCTTTGACACGTCATCCCAGCGCGCTGATTCCGAACAAGCTCTACGCGAAACTCACTCAAGGCCTGAGCGCCCACCGTGAGCCACGTCCATACGGACGTCTGCACAAACGTTAGCAAACAAATCCCACCAGACCTCTGGGCGCTGGAGGGGCGGGACCACTCTTCCAGCCCTCGTGTGCAAACTTCACACCTGCAGTTATTGGATCGGAGGGAGTGGTGGGCGGCCATCCGTCGATAGACACATCGAATATGCTCATAGGTGGCCAGAGAGTAAAGAAAAGTTTGAAAGCCGCCAACCTCAAGGTCAATGCGTCATCGAAGCGCTGCTGTGTCTTGTGATTCTCCATGCGAGTGAGCTTTGGTGCTGCGCTTTTGCCCCACTGCCATTTGGCAAGCACTATCAGGAAGGTGATGATCCAATGTTTATACGGATCAAAATATCCCAGAACGCGCGGCTTCTTCATCGCACAGACACCGATGATGAACAGAGCGCAATACAGTATTGTACAGACGTGCGCTATGTAGCCTCTGTATTTTGCTGTCGGCGTCCCCACCAGCTTCTTGTCAAACTCGGGCAGATCACTCTCGACGAACTTCATTGTCGTAGCGCTCATGCCCCAAACATGTGCCATCCGGGCGCAACTACGATTCAAACTGATCTCGAAGACGATCGCCCATATGACGATCACGGCAGCCAGCAGAAACCTGACATATGACTTTGTCCATACATCTACGACACGCACCTGAGGCCCGAGGAAGAAGACAACGTCCCCATCGGGTTTGGACCCCCAGCGGTCTGCAAACCTCCTCCTCCTCCTCCTCCTCCTCCTCCTTCTCCTCCTCCTCATCGTCATCCTGCTCCCAAGCCGCCTCCGCCCGCCCTTACAATGCAAAGCTCCTCCGCGTTGCACCACAGGCCGTCTCCGAAGAACGGCCCCTGCGTTGGGGCTGAGACTTCCTCGCGAGTCCTGATTCTAGCGCTCGAGTTTTCGCGCCGATGCACGAAGACACCACTGGTCGCTTCCAAAACCCTTGCTCTCGAGTTGGCGCCCCGCGCACTCGCGCCACCAGAAGCTCCAACAATTACAAGATTTATTTTGATTCGCGGGTCGAGAGCGCACCTCTTCCTGTCGAAGCTAAGCGGGCCGCGCGAAGCTTGACTTAACTCCAACAATTACAGGATGGGGCCCATCTGGCGCTCACCTCGGGCCGGAGCGCAAGCAGTGTGCAAAGGTTGCAAAATCTGGCGCACGTCGTTGTCCAAGGCTGCCCCGAAATCTGGCGGTCCGTCCAGCGCAGCGCGCAGGGGCCTTCAGTGGTTCCAGCACGTGCGCGGATGGTTCCGCCTAACACTTCCTCGCGGTTTGAGGTCATAGGCCAGTGTTTCACGTGAGTAAAAAGTTGCACGAATGGCACGGGGCTACTGGTCAACATGATATTCTGTCCGTCTTGCCCTGGACTCCATCACGTCGTCGGCTCCGAAAGCTGACACTTTTTCGAAGCAGCTGCACGTATGAATTGCGGCAGCTGGCAAAAACCTGGCTCTCGCCCGATGCCTCCGAGAAAATTTAGAATCCTGCACCCTAAAAGTCGACAGCTGCACGGATGGAGGACGGCTCATCTGCAAGATTACAGTCGGGGCGTTGACCTAAGGAGCCCTAAACAAGGAACGAGGCCCCTATTTTCCATAAGTTGAACTTCGATTTCCTGATCAAAACCTGAGGAAAATCCAAGGCAAGCTGCGAAACAATCAAGGAACACGGAGCCCCTCCCCAACGAAAAGGGTTGCTTCCTCAGCGCCCCGACTGTATGGAGTCGATCCTGCATCCTGAAAACCGACAGCCTCCTTCTCCTCCTCCTCCTACTCCTACTCCTCCTCCTCCTCCTCCTCCTCCTCCTCCTCCTCCTCCTCCTCCTCCATCCTCCTCCTCCTCCTCCTCCTCCTCCTCCTCCTCCTCCTCCTCCTCCTCCTCCTCCTCCTCCTCCTCCTCCTCCTCCTCTGCAAGATTATGTGGAGTCGATCCAGGGCCGCGCACGCTTCGCGCCCAGTGCTCTACCATATCCGCACGGATGGAGGGCGAGACACCCTCCGGGAAAGCCCGCTGCGGCACTGCAGCGACCCTGACCCTCCAGGAGGGCTAAAAAATAGCACGCGACCTAAAAACCGATCCTAGAGCTATTCTACGTCCTGGTTTTGGGCTGTTTCGCTTCGTGTTTTAGGTCTTTAGGCCTCCAGTGCTAAAACATAGCTCTCTGGAAGCTCAGGGGACACACGGCCAAAATCCTGACACCGACGCCCCCTCCATGCACGGGGCCGCCACCGCTCAGGACCACGGGGCCCTCGCCCTCCCACCGGGCGCACGCCGGCGTGAGGAAAATAGGTCGCGCTGACAGCATGCGGAGGGGGCCCACCCGGGACGGGAAGGCATACAGCAGGCACGCCGAGGAAGAAGCCAGCCTGCCAGCAGGTGCCCCACGGAGACTTCCTGCTCCCCGCCGGCACTGGACACGCAACGAAAGTTGATGGGTCGCTCGCGACGACCACGACTGACCGGACAGTGTGTGGCCCTAGAGTGTGCACAGCGAGACTTATTCGCGTACGCGCCCACTGCACTGCAGTATCAGTGGCGTGGGCACTGGGCTTCCTTCTCTTCCCCCTCCTCCCCTCCTCCCCCTCCTCCCCCACCTCCTTTCCGCACCCAGTCCACGTAGCTCATGCGGCGCTCGGCCTCGCCAGGCGGCTGGCGGGCCTGTCGCGACCCACTCGTGCCTCCCATGCCCCAGCCTAGCATCCCTATGGGCCATGGCGCTGCCGTGGCCTGGGCCCGGTCGGTGGACGACAGGCTGCCGACTCGACGACGGCGGCCACCACGCGTGCTTCAGGGACCGCCCAAGCTGCGGGCGCCGCTGCTCCACCTAACGTGCTCGTTCTGGGGGACTTGATGAAACTAGAACCAGAATCGTACAAATCCACTAGCCAGGACGGCCCGAAGAGGTCTCCAGAACGAGCGCTCTTTGTCGCAGCAGCGAGAGTCCTCGCCGCGTTCGGGGGCAGGCGTGGGATGGAAACGGGGCCGAATTGGGCACAGCAGACGTAGGCGGTAAGGGAAGGGAGCACGCTCAGAGCGTGAAGGTCTTGAAACTTGTTTGCCGGAGCACGTGCACAGCGACGATGTGGAAGTCCTTGACGGAGCGGAACTCGAACCGAGGAGCCACAATGCTCTACAGGCCTCCTAGGTGGGGTCGGAGTAGATGGGGTCGGAGGATCGCGCCGCATCGACGATATATCGGCGATACGTCGGCGATGCATCGGCGATGCATTGTCGACGTCGGCGATGCATCGGCGACGTTGACGTGAAGCAAAGCGGGCTGCACATAGAGCCGCATCGGCGATGCATCGGCGATGCGGCGCGACCCTCCGACCCCGTCTGCTCCGACCACATCCAGGAGGCCTCGATGCTCGGCGCCGCTGCCGGGCGGCAGCACCCTGGCGAGGCGCTGGAGCCGAAGGCGCGCGCGGCAGGGGTGCTAAGGCACCCGGGAGCGGCCCGTGACGTGCTGCACCGCATCGGAACAGGCTTGCAGACCGTCCTTCGGGCACACATCCCGATGGCTCGTACCACGACGAGGTGCCGCTGGACTCGGACAGGATCGGCGCCGCCTCGCTCGTCACGGCCAGCGGCCGCTGGCGCGTGCGGCCAGGCTCCACTGCTGTGGGATGTGCAGCTCATCCTGGAAGCGCACACTTGTCAGGCTCCTCGGCGCGACGGCCAGACTCCAGAAGACCGCGAAGTGCGAGATCACAGTTGTCCTCTCCAGCCACACGGCTCTGCGCATCCACGGTCTTGTTACCGTGCCAGAGTTCTGGCCGAGGAGGTCCCTCCTGGGAGCGGCGCGGGGCCAGCGGCAAGTCAGAAGGCCACGGGCCCAGCGAGCCGTACTTTGGCAACGAGATCGAGCGCATGGCTCGGCGCCTTAAGGAGCTGGGCGAAGCGGCAAGCGGCAAGCGGCAAGCGGCCAACCTGCGTCGCAGCGTGAACCCCTGAGCGGGCGGCCCCTCGCTTAGGCCCCACTCGTCCAACGTTCTCCCTTTTCCTCCCCGACACGCCGCCTCGGAGGCAGGTCAATCCAGTCCTTGGTCGTCCGTCTCATAATCATCTCTTCTCTCGTCCTCCTCTTCCTTGTCCTCCTCCTCCTCCTCCTCCTCCTCCGCCTCCTCCTACTCCTCCTCGTGATCACCATGATCACCACCATCATAATAATAATACTACTACTAATAATAAGAATAATACTACTAATAATAATAACAACAATAATAATCATCATCATCATCATCATCATCATCATCATCATCATCATCGTCATCATCAGCAGCAGCAGCATCAGCAGCATCATCATCAGCATCATCAGCAGCATCACCACCACCATCATCATCATCATCATCATCATCAGCATCATCATCCTCATCATCATCAGCAGCAGCATCAGCATCATCAGTAGCATCATCACCATCATAATCAACATCAGCATCAGCATCAGCATCATCATCATCATCATCATCATCATCATCATCATCATCATCATCATGACCAGCATCAGAATTAGGAGCAGCCGCATCATCAGCAGCAGCATTATCATCAGCGTCATCATCGCCGTAATCAGCATCAGCATCATCAGCATCAGCATGAGCATAATCAGAATCATAATAAGCATCAGCATCATCATGAGCATCATAATCCGCATCATTGCCAGCATCATCAGCAGCAGCACCATCAGCATCGGCATTATCATCAGCATCATCATCATCATCATCATCAGCAGCAGCATCCTCATCAGCAGCAGCATCATCAGCATCTGCATCAGCATCAGCATCAGCATCGGCATAAGCATCACCATCATCATCGCCATATCATCATCATAGTCATCCTCGTCAGGAGCATCATCAAAAGTATCAGCATCATCAGCATGATTATCACCACCACCATCATCATCAGCGGCAACAAGCATAACAACAACAAAAGGAGCACCAGCATCAGCATCATCACCCGCATCGTCATCACCATCAGCATCAACATCATCAGCACCGGCACCGTCGTCATGATCGCTGTGGTCGTCGTCATTATCCTCCGCAGCAGCAGCAGCGGCATCATGCTTATCATCAGCATCATCATCATCAGCAGCAGCATCACCATCGTCATCACCATCCGAATCATCTGCATAATCATCATCCTCATCCTCATTATCATCCTCATCCTCACCCTCATCCTCCTCCAACACCTCCACCACCTCCACCTGGTTCCTGGTTCCTGGTGGATGGGCGAACTCCGAGGACTCCGACGAAGAGGATTCCGATGACGCCTCAGAGCACTGGGGAATGTTCGAAGAAAGCGATGAGGAGGCAACGCCGAAGAGAAGCTCTCATCGGCACGAGGCGGAGGAGGAGGAGGAGCAGGGAGGAGCAGGAAGAGATGAGGAGGAGGATTCCGCTGAAAGGCTAATATCCAGGGCCACTGGCCCTACGTGGGGAGGGAAGCATGTAGCACATTGTGTCGTGGATTTGCCCTGGGCTCACTTCTGAAAAATCCATCCAACAAAAGCAAAGCGCGATCACACTCAGCAAGCACACGGCCCTGACGTAGAAGGCGAAGAAGTGAAAGAAGAAGGCGATCTTCTCTCCAAAATCAGCCGACTCCACTTTGGGACCACCAGGCGGCGACTGCACCTCCGTGCCTGCCACATCACTGGCGACAGCAATATATCTGAGAGTAGCTTTTGCATGAGGTTTTTTTTGTTCCCCCTCGGACCGACGACAATGCCAATGACAACCGATGACAACTCGAAACCACGGCGGAATTGTTAAATCGTAGGTTGAACGACATTCCACAATCCTGGCGTGAATTCTCTCGCCGCTCCTCCCCCCGGAGGGCAAAGCACCCCTCCTATAAGCCCAGTGCTGAGAAGGTGACCAGGGCAAAGCAAACTCGCACGCAGTGTCTTTGCCGACCCGCTTCCATTTGAAGGCCACGCAGCCTTCGCGCGGTGGCTGCCAGAGAGGGAGGGCAGCACCCAGCGCAGGGCCGCAACGATGAGGCGCACACGCCTCAGAGGGCCTGCCACTCTGCCCTCCCTGGCGCACACCACGTCTGAGAGCCTCGCTGGGCCCTGAGCTGCGCCGAGACCATGGACGCAGCGCCCCAGAAACACCCACCCCTGGAGGCGTAGAAATGGGCCCCAACACCAACACCGAGAGTTGCCTCCACCAGGGGAAAATGATCCTATATGTTGGCGTTGGCGGTCATATCCCGGCCAATCTGGAAGCCCGAATCTTACCACCGTCACCGAGATCGGGATCATCTTTCCTCGTTGGAGGCACATCGCCGATATTGGTGTTGGTGTCAACCTTCAGGCCTCCGACGCCCCCGAGAAAGGGGAGGGGGAAGGCCCTCTGCCCTTTCTGGCGCAAACCATGCCTGAGAGCCTCGCGGGGCCCGAGGCTGTGTCGAGACCCTCGACGCCGCGCCCCAGAAATGATGGGAACATGTTCCACCACCACTACCACATGTAGGACGGGGGAGAAGGGACAATGAGGAGGTCCTCCTCCTCCTCCTCATCATCCTCCTCCTCCTCCTCCTCCTCCTCCTCCTCCTCCATCCTCCTCCTCCTCCTCATCCTCCTCCTCCTCCACCTCCTCCTCCTCCTCCTCCTCCTGCTCCTGCTCCTCCTGCTCCTCCTCCTCCCGCCTCCTCCTCCTCCGCCTCCACCTCCTCTTCCTCCTCCTCCTCCTCCTCCTCCTCCTCCTTCTCCTCCTCCTCCTCCTCCTCCTCCTCCTCCTCCTCCTCCTCCTCCTCCTCCTCCTCCTCCTCCTCCTTCCTCTCCTACCACTGGTGGCGGTTGTGGAAAATGAGCTCATCAAGAAACGCCCACGCCCGAGAAAGGGGAGGGGGGTGGGCAAGCTGGCGGCGGCCGGAGGCTCTCGGATAGTCCCGGACCTGTGAGGGCAGCGGGCCGCTGCCCAGCGGGAGTGCCCACTTCTCCTTGAGCTCCCTCTGCTCCTGGAGAGGCAAGAAAACTCGGCCACCCTGCGGCGGTCCTTGAGTTGAGCTGGCCCATGTCCTCAACAGTCCTTAGTCCTGCGTAGTGAGTGTCTGGTCCTCGACAGATTGGAGACGCATGGCCCCAGACCCGATATTGCTAGGGTTGCTGGGGTGTCCTGGACGCTCTCGTTTTCCCTGTGCGGCCTTTCCCAAGGCCCTGGACGCGTTCTCGGGGGTCCAAACGTCCAAAACACTTTGAGATGGTCCCCAGGCCCTGGGGCCCCTTCTAAAGCTGTCTTGGGGATATCTTGGGCCGTCTGCAGGCCATGGGGTCGGCCCAAGAGCTAACACTAATTGAAAGAACTGTGACATTCCAACGGCTTTTGCATCATTCCCGTTTCGTTCATCAGAGCGCCCTAAACGGCCCAAGAGGCCTCCAACACTGTCCACGAGGGACAAAAGAATGAACCCAGCGCAACACACATTAGGGGTCTTCTTTCTTCTATAACAATTCAAAACAGTTCTGAGCAACGCAGAGCAACAGAATTCACGGCATTGGTTGGCATTGTTTGGCATTGCTGAGCGGTGCTTGCAAATGCTTGCCATTGATTGCCGCTGCTTAGCGCTGCTTGACATTGCTTAAAACCGTTGCTTGGCATTGCTTGGCACTGCTCGGCACTGCTTGGTGCTGTTTGGCATTGTTTGGCATTGGTTTGCGTTGTTTTGCATTGCAGGGCCTTGCTTGGCATTAAGCCCGCACGGTGATTGTGGTCGTCAATCTTGTCTAGGGGGGAACTCGCACAGGCAACCCGCGTGATTCTGCCAGACCTGCGGATCGAGACGGGCACACGTGCACGAAGGAACAATGAGCAACTTTGTCTGAAGATATGGGCCAAGTGCACTAGGCAACCGTCGACAGCAGCAGGACGTGGTTGGGAGCACTCCCAGAAGCACGTCACTTAGAGCCCTCGCCAGTGGGACTCACCGAGCAATCGAGTCCAGGACAGTGTGGAACCACACGACAGACGTAGCCGGCGATGCGAAGACACTCGGGACATTCGAGGAGGACGAACGACGAGGACGAGGACATGGCGACGAGGGGGCGGAGGGGAAGACAAAACCTGGAGGGACAACACACACACACCCCGAGGTGCTCTCGAAAGGGCTCGTGTCTCCTCCTCCCTGCTCCCCTCCCTGCTCCCTTCTCCTTCCTCCCTTCTCCGTCCTCTCATCCTGTCTCCTCTCCTCCCCTCTCCCCCCCCCCCACTCCTCTCCCTCCTCTCCTCCCCACCCCCCTCCTCCTCTCGCCACAGCAGGCCCTCCTCCGATGGGGGGGGCCGACCCCTGCCCTCAACCGACCTGGACCTCCGGCTCGGGCTCCCGCCCCTGCATGAGGCGCAACGGCCCGCGCGCCCTCTCCTCTCGTCCTCCTTCTCCGCGGGCGACCCCCCCCCCGTTCTCCGCGGGCGGCCTCCATGGAAAGGCTCCCGAAGCACCACCCCGGGGCCCCTGACAGCGCTGGAGGGGTCACCAAAAACACGCCCCAGGCTCGGGCCAGTCTCCTCCTCTCTTGGACACGCCGCGGGAGCGAGCGCTCCAGGCGTCCCCAATATCCTCCTCGTCCTCCCCAGGAAAGCAAAAAAAGATACCGACGCCGCCATTCCACGGACGTCTTCCGGGGTGCGCTCTGACCAGAATTCCGAGGAGAAACCAGCTCCTCCCAGGAGGCCCAAAGAGGCCAAAACGAAGAAAGGGTGGCAGCATCAGTACCTTGCCCTCCTCGTCCTCCTCATCCTCCGGTCCTTGAACCCCTCCACCGGGAAGTGCGCAGTAATAAATTTCTGGTGGACCAGCTCCTGCAGGTTGATTAGGTTGGACAGGTGCCTGTGAGCGATGCGGATCACGTCCTTGGGGAAACCAAATGGTACCAGTACCGCCACTCCCGGGACCTCTCGGGGTGTGTTCTGACCAGAATTTCGAGGAGAATCCAGCTGTGACGACGAGAGCCTCCCAGGAGGCCAGGGAAGGGGAAAACGAGGCAAGGGTAGACGTATGGGTACCGTTTCCTCGCCTGAGGCCTAGGGACAGGCAATAAAATGCTCCTGAGCCAATCCCCCAGCCCGACTCCCGCATCCGTCCCACACTCACACTCATCTACGGTGGGGGCATTAGAAAAGGAAACAATGGATAAGGAACCCAAAGCCTGGATGTCGGTGGAACTCCGATCATGCATCGGCCACGGATACCACCACCGCCCTCATCAGATAAGGAATCCTCCAAGGTCTGAAGCCTTGTGGGCACATTCCTCAACCAACGCCCCCACCGTATCAAGATTTGTCCTCCACCCTCGAGGTCGAGGGGGAGGTCTTCGAGCGTGATTTGCCTCTGGTCCCCCGCTCCAGGGGTCCGGATCCGGGGCGGGAGCAAAACATGGCACACTCGTCCTCCTCCTCCTCCTCCTCCTCCTTCTCCTCCTCCTCCTCCTCCATTTCCTCCTCCTCCATTTCCTCCTCCTCCATTTCTTCCTCCTCCATTTTTCCTCTTCCTCCACAACTACACAATATAAATACTACTCTCCTCTCTCCCCTGATGGCGTCCGGGGAATGTCCGGCCCCCCTCCGCGTAGTGGTTTTTTACACACGCGGTTCCCGTGAGTTGGGTGGTTTCGATCTGCTGTTCCCTACCTAGGCTCTGCCTAGAGGGTTCTTACTCTCTTAGCTTAAAGGGGCTGGGCAGTGCTACACGCCCTGGGCGGTTCCCCCGGTCCCCGCCCCGCGGTTCCCCCAGTCCCCTGGGAGCTTTAGCTTTAGCCTTAGCTTTAAGTTTAGCTTAGCTTTAGCTTAGCTTTAGCTGAGCTTTAGTTTAGCTTTAGCTTAGCTTTAGCTTAGCTTTAGCTTTAGCTTAGCTTTAGCTTAGCTTTAGCTTAGCTTTAACTCAGCTTTAGCTTAGCTTTAGCTTAGCTTTAGCTTAGCTTTAGCTTCAGAATGAACTTAGCTTTAGCTTAGCTTTAGCTTAGCTTTAGCTTAACTTGAGCTTAGCTTTAGCTTAGCTTTAGCTTAGCTTTAGCTTAGCTGTAGCTTAGCTGTAGCTTTAGCTTAGCTTTAGCTTAGCTTTAGCTTAGCTTTAGCTTAGCTTTAGCTTTAGCTTGGCTTTAATATAGTGTTAGCTTAGCTTTAGCTTTGTTTTAGCTTAGCTTTAGCTTAGCTTTAGCTTAGTTTTAGCTTAGCTTCAGCTTAGTCTTAGCTTAGCTTTAGCTCAGCTCAAGCTTAGCGTTACTGATACTACTAATGCTGCTTTCCCTGGGGGCTCCAACTCCTAGGTAGGGTCGCACTGGGATAATTCTCGCTGAAGCGCTGGCATCATTTTCGGGCTACCGCTCGTTCCGAATCGTGCTCCCGCCGCAGCGCTGGCCTCATTTCTGCGCTTCCGCTCGTTCCGAATCGTGCTCCCGCTGCAGCGCTGGAATCATTATTTCGAGCGCCATGCCACGACATAGTTTTCGGTCCTTCCAAACAGGCCCCAAATGGACCCCGAAGAATGCATTGGAAGATATCATACATTCGGTGTCGATTCGTTGATTTATTTGGGCCGCAGAAGCCCCCCCACCTTGGGGCGTCGCCACGTCATGCTATGTCATGCTACGCGTTGATATTTGACTCCATGCTATGATGTATTGCTATGCCATGCTACGACATCCGATTGTGCGAACAGGGAGGAGATCTACGCCATGGTAAGGGATGGGAGAGGGGTAGGACCTTAGATATGGTGCGAGCCACCCAGCTTGTCCCCCGTCCCCTCCCTCTCCTCTTCCGCCTCCGCCTCCTCCTCCTCCTCCTCCTCCTCATCATCATCATCATCATCATTAACATCATCAGCATCATCATCAGCAGCATCATCAGCATCATCATCATCATCATCATCATCAACATCATCATCATCATCATCATGTCTCGCCCGGTTTCCCCGCATCCCGCCCGCGGCGCTTCTGATTATCTTGCTCCATGTTGCTCCAGAACCACGCGGACGATACGACTACTTTAGCGGTTGCCAATGGGCTGCAAGTGCGTCGGCGGCCCCCGAGCGCAACTCTGCCTAGGGCGAGCCCACCCCACGCCGATATCTGGTGGAGCATTCACGTTAACGCCCGGTTTTTTGCCCCGTGAGCTGGCAAAGGACCAGGATGTTCAACGATCCCGCTGTGTGACATGCTGGTCGTCCAGCGGTAATCCACCTCAAGTGGTGCGGGGCACGTTGTGATGAAAACTGGCCCGTACGCATTTTGTCATCGAAATCTCAAACATGTCACGCCAGTGGCTACAAAAAACTGCCACTCGGACAGGCCACGATAGATTGGGCCGCTTACTGGAAGAGCTTGATCCTAAGCGCAATAACTCGTTGGGCGCGTTGTTTTCGCTACCCTCCGACTGTATCATGAGTGATGGGACTTCAACGGCTGTGGACCACCTTCTAGCCATCTGCTCCGCGTAGCAAGTCGCACGATTATGCTTATGGTGTTGGTGGTGGTGATGGTGGTGGCAGTGATGATGGTGATGATGATGGCAATGTTGATGTTGATGATGATGATGATGATGATGATGATGATGATGATGATGATGATGATGATGATGATGATGATGATGATGCTGACGAAGACGTCGTTGGTGATGATGACCATGACGATGGTGATGATGATGATGGTGATGGTGATGGTGATGGTGATGGTGATGACGACGACACCGATAATGACGGTGTTGTTGGTGACTATGATGATGGTGATTGTGACGATGATGGTGATGATAATGATGACGATGATCATGATGATGGCCATGATGATGGTGGTGACGGTGATGGTGATGATGATGGTGATGGTGATGATGATGATGTTGATGATGATGGTGATGGTGACGGTGATGCGGATGAAGGTCATGGTGGTGATGATGGTGACGATGATGATCACGATGATGATGAAGATGATGAAGACTATGATGATAGTGTTACTGGTGATGAGGATGACGATGATGGTGATTCGGAAGCTGGGCGAAGGCTGCTAAAACCGTGGCTGCTAAAACGGCCCTCCCGAAAGGAAAAAACAACTTCCCGGAATGAGGCGCGGCACTCGAAACAGTCAACGGGCTTCTTCCCAGAAGGACGAAGACAACTTCCCGGAGGTCGATTTTAGCAGCCACGGATTTAGCAGCCCTCGCCCTGCTTCCGAGTGATGATGATGATGATGATGATGACGACGAAGAAGACGATGATGATCATGAGGAGGAGGAGGATGAAGATAATGATGATGGTGATGATGACGACGACGATGATGATGATGCTGCTGATAACGATGATGGTGACGACACTTGTTTGCATGATGAAGGCGACGGTGATTGTAGGATCAAAAGTATGACAGTGGTATTGATGAGACTGGCCGGAGTCAAAGGAGCCGCACTCTGAAGGCCCGCGCCAGAACAATTCCGAGTAGAGATGGCTCCAAAGCGCGCGCGCGTTGTCACGCCTGTCTTGTCCCGCCTTCTGCCCACGGCGGCAGCCACTGCCTGTGTGTGTGTTCACCCCTCTGCCTCTTTTCGGGGAGACCTGCCTCGACGGAGGCAGCCCAGCTCGTGTTCCACGATTCGCGCCCCTCCCCGCCCCCCTCGACCCAACCTCCCGTCCCCCTTTTCTGCTACTCCACCTGCCTGCACTGCCACTCCCCACTTGCATCCACACGCCCACGGTTAGGTTGTGCGTGTCCCCCTACAGGCGGGCTTTGGACGAAAAATAAAAGAGATTTAAAAAAATACTGAGAAATTGCCCCCCCAAAAAATACCCCAAAAATCGTCCCCATTGCATTTTTTGACTATGTTTGGATATCCCTCCTGTAGAGGGACAGGCCCGCCACCCCCCCATTCCGCTCCTCCCCTGGCAGCCTGGACGCCTGCCCGCCCGCTCTCTTTGTTGGCTCCCTGCGTCCACTCGCCGAAGGCGCTGCAGCTTCCCCTGGCTGTGCAGGTCCACCGTGAACGGGGTGTAGGCGAAACAGTAAGCTCGGGCCGGGCGAAAGGGGGGGATAGCACAGAGGGGGGGTTTGAGAATCAGCTCACGCAGCTGATTTTCCCGGCGCCTCCCGGCGCCGGGAGGCGGCCATGCATCGAGGAATGGGCCCCTCGGTGAGGCCGAAACCAGCTGCACGCAGCAAATTTCGTAACCCCCCCTTTCCCAATCCCCCCCTTTCGTCCGGCCCGATAAGAGCCGTCATCGGTGGTAATTCGTTTCCGGGAGTCGTAATTCGACTTGCTGAGGGGCACCTGGTATTTGAACTGCTCGGCTAGCTTGCGGACGGTGTCCCCGTCGGGATCCAGATGGATTTTTAAGAAGGTCTCGTCGCCGTCTACACTGGAGAAGCAGCTGCAGACGAACCCACTCCTACGAAGGATAGCCTCGATCTTATGCCTCACTATCTCATGGTATTCGCCGACGCTCATCTCTTTGATGTACTCGGCAGCGCCCATATTCTCGATGCCGAGGCCCTCGATGATCTGGTCCTCTGGGAAGCCCAACAGTGCCGCAGGGCCGAAGAGAGCCCCTGGGATACTTCTGAGAGTGCCGACAGGAGGGGCCGGACAAGTGCTGCATGATGGCATGGAGCCGAAAGGGGCCCAAAATTAGCAGCGGATCCGCGGCCACGACTGCGACGAGGGCACCCGCGGAAGGACCGCGGGAGGGAGCTGGCCATCACGGCGACGAGCGGCGGAGCACAAGCTGAAAGTGATCTTGGGACGGAGCAGAGACAGGGAGAGATGGAAAAAGGGAAGGGGGGCAGGGGGAAGACGGGGGAAGAGGCTGCAAGGAGAGGTGACGGGAGGCGAAGGCCGAGGGCCTTTCGATTGGCTCCCCCGTCCCTGGGCTGCAGGAAGATCTCCCTCGCCCTCGCCAGCGGCTCGGTGACCATCGCGTCGCAGTTCTTCACGGCACCGGGGCTCGCCCGGGTGAACACGAGGACATAGGTGGCCTCCTCCTCGTCGATGACAACGTCCCTCCCCAGCAGCGGGCTCGTGCCCAGATGCCTGTTGCCGCCGGGTGTGGTCACCCATTCATCTCCCCTGCTGCTGCTGCTGCAGCTGCTGCTGAAGCCGTCGCTGCCTCCGCCGTCGGACGAGAGGTCGGCGCCGTCGAGGCTCTCGAGGCTCACGGCGAGCCGCAGCCTGGCGACATCGGCGGCCATCGGCGGGCGGGCCGAGCCAAAATGGCCTCTGGGCCCGGCGAGGACAGCGCTCGGTCTGGAAGCAACTCTCGGCGCCTGGCACGGCATCAAGGCTGGGCCACGCTCCCGGAAGCAACGAAAGAGCGCCCCACGGGGAGCAGCCAGAGCACTGAGACAAGTCAAAGTAGGCCTCGGGGCAATCTCAGGAGGCACCAGGCAACTATTCGAACCCAATCCTTGGGCACGGTTCGCAGAACCGAAGGAGACGGCACCCGGGGCACGGCAGAGCGCCACAGACGGCACCAGGCATCACCCGACGGGCAGCCATGCACGTGTGGATGCCATGACAATGGACACTCGAGCCGCTCCATCACTGGATCTTAAATGTATTCAAAATGTCTTCTGTATGCTCTAAACATGTTCAAAGCATGCTTAATTTGAAAATATGATAGGCGAGGATGTGAGATTTAGGGAGATAACGAACTATCTTTCCCTTCCGCCCATGGCCGTTGTGGCTCATAAGCTGGGCGGGGGGTGGACGCACCTACTCACGACTGCTTTGAGTACGGAGATAAACAGATATTCTATGTTCTGCTTTGTGTTTGCATCCAGTACTGGTGGGAGGGATATTGAGATATGTATTTACACTGGTAGCGGAGCTGTATCATTTCTACGGTTGCGAGATTAATATTGTGAGTGGCCGTGCAGATATATGCTGGCGATCAAGACTCTCGTAGTGCTTTACCACTGCGCACTTCCTTCAGCGATCAACACGCTGAACATCATCACTGGCAGCCTGGCCGAGAATCGTTGCCACGACCTGGACAGCAGCAGTGACAACGACATCTACTACGAGCTGGACGGGGACGCCATCATCAGAGACGACAACACTATCATCAGAAACGGCAACACCATCACTACAGACAAGATGGCGACCAGGCAGCAACAGACCAACGACGGACCCCTCTTCGTGGACAAGGAGGGCGTCGTACATTACAACGGCGATCCAGCCTACGGCGAGGAGTTCAAGGAGCGCGCGATCCTCGGCTACTATGCGAGCGAAGAGAAGCTGCAGAAGCTCTACGCGATCAAGCTCAAGAATCCTTTGAATGGGCGAGCGTGGAACCTCACGAGGAAGAGGGCCGAGATTGCGACGCAAGCAGTGTTGGACAAAGCAGGTGATGACCCACTTGCTGCAGTGAAGATGGCGGTGGCAACGGTACGACCAGCGTGCGAGCGGATCGCCCCGCAACAGAAGCAGCAAGCTTTCGAGGAGTATTTCTTCGAAGGCTTTCGCAGCAGATCGGAGTCTGCGCAGGATTATATATCGTGGCGGGAGACGGAGTATGAGCGGCTCAAGTCTCTCTCAGCGAGCAGAACGGTGAGCGAAGACCTGCGGACGCATTTCCTACTAAAGTTGGCCAAGTTTAGCATGACCGAGCACAAGGCCATTCTCGGGCAATGCAACAACGAGTACATCTGGGACGACGTGACGGCAGCGATGCTCATCCAGCTGGACACGACAATGCAGAGACGAACGTGGTCACGGACGTTATGGAGCATACCCGGTGGACTACGAGGATGACGAGGAGGAAGCCCTACTTGGATACGAGTGTGGTGTATGCGATGAGGACGGCGCTGGCAGCCGACATCGACGAGTTCGAAGGGGTGCTTGACGACGTCGACCCCGAGGAGGTCAGCCAGGAGGAGTGCGACACTCTAGCGGCTGAGGCACAGCGTCTAGGGTGGAAGGCTGGACGAGAAGGGCACAAGCCTAACTACAAGCAAGCCCGTGAAAGGCTTGCACAGGGCAAGTCCTATCCAGGCTGGAAGGCCAACATCAACAAGCAGGGATCCATCAAGATGGACGGCAAGGAAGCCGAAGAGAAGCTCAAGAAGATAGAGGCTCGCACGAAGTGCAACGCATGCCACAAGAAGGGCCACTGGAAAGGCGACCCGGAGCGCGAGAAGACAAGGCCATCAGGCGGCGGATCATCGAGCAGCCTATGTACAGCGTGGAGGACGAGGTGGTGGCCGAGGCTTTCACGGGCGACCTGGAGGTTTCCTACGACGGGCTGGGCTTGCCATGGCAACGGCGGTGAAGCTACTGATGGTGGACAGCTCAATGGACATGACTGCCATCCTGATCTTGAAGGACCAGCTGGCGAACATGGAGACCACGATGGAGGAGATCACGAGTCTGACGAAGGTGAGGATTGACACCGATGAACAGATCATGAACACCTGGACGGCATCAGCACTTGGAGACCATCAAGGTACACGAGAGCGGCCTGGAGAAGCGAATCGGATCCAGAGCATACCTGACTGGGGGTAGCGATGTTCAAACGCCAGGATCTGGATCAGGACAGACATGGCCCAGCAGATCGAGCACCGACTACCATTAAGAGGATACCACAGCGGCGGACCTACAGAAGATCAAAGATCGAGCAGCACAGATTGCAGCATTATGGGTCAGCTGTGAGAACACGGTAGCAGCCTACAGGGCTTACATGGAGTGGTGCGTGGACTGGGCACTATACCGGATCCACCAGCTCATGCGCATCGATGGAGATGGCACCACAGGGACTCAGGAACTTGGCGCACGACCTATGCCAAGCATCCTGGGACAGCACCTCGGAACTACGAGATGTCGCAAGGAGCACCTGCGAGCGCCTACCCCATCGAGTGCGACCGACACGGTTGTGGACGGAACGTAGGACGGGCACAGCCTACAGGCCTACAGAGGATCGTGCACCATCATCTGGCCTGCAGGTGAACTACGAGGAGCTGGAGGAGACCGAGGCCTACGCGATAAGAAAAGGCCTATTCCAGATGGACACGCTGCACTGGACACGGCGCGCCTGCGAGGATGTGGAGGCTCACTAGCGCTGGACGGCTACGCGGAGGACAGCAGGGCCACTACGAGGATGAGGGGGTCATCCATGCGCTTCCGAGGCCTAGACACAGCGCTGCACGCGGAGGAGCGGAAGGCGGACTTCAGGGCGATCAACAGGTACGGGGTGCCGCTCAACAAGACCGAGAAGGGGCACCCAGCGATCTCACTCAAGGACTGGCCGAAGAAAGAAACTACCAAGACAGTACCATCAGTTACGACGGATGAGATCGACATCTGGACCGCGGAGGCGCAAGAGATAGGCAAGGGCATCCCACGACGAAAGCAGACGACCTACTGGACATCAAGTCACAGCGGATAGTGCTGAAGCAGCTGGACGAGGACGACCCCTACATGACTATCGTGGGTGTTCCATGCGACCCGTTCACGAACAAATCGCACATGCTTCCGCAGAAGACGAGGATGATGAAGCTAGCAACTGGCATGAAGCACCTGCAGTTCGTCAAGCAGGTCTGGCTCAACTGCAAGCGTCGAGGAGCACACATGCTACTGGAGAACCCGCTGACATCCAAGGCGTGGAAGCTCATGCCGTGGCTAGGCTCAGAGCTTGTGGCTGCGATGACGCACCAGTGCGCCGAGGGCAGCAACCTGGTGGACTTCATGGGCGATCCCGTCAAGAAGCCGACGCGGTTCCTGGCTACGGCCACCATGCTAGGCGCCAAGCTCAACAGCATCAGGTGTGACAACACGCACGAACACACGAGCGTGATCAACACGCCGAAGGGAACAGCGTCAAGCCTTGGCAACTAGACGACTAACCTGGCTAAGACGATCATGGACGGCATCGAGAATCAGCGGGACCTCGAGAAGCAGCATGGCGGGCACGCCAGGTACGCCAACAACTTCGATGACGTCGAGCTTGACGAGATCGAGGCCAATCCTGCAGAGGCGGAGGCACAAATGCACGCGAGTGCAGCGACGACTTTCAGCAAGCACGGCGACAACATCGAGATGGCAGAATGGACGGCGGTACCACCACTTATGCGAGCAGCTATCAAGAAGATGCATGAGAGCCACGCATATGGACCCTACAAGGAGTCATTGGTACGATACTTACAGCACGGTGGAGCTAGTCGACGAGTGGTGCAGGCAGCACGACTCTTCAGATGCACAACGTGCGAGAACAGGCTCGGACGGCAGCAAGACCTACAGCAGTTCAGCCCAAGGTTAGAGACTTTAACGAGGCCATTGGCATGGATTTCATGATCATACCCGACATGGACAAGAATCTGCACGTGGTGCTTGTGATCGTGGATATTGTATCGGAGCTTACAGTGGCTATCTACACGTGTCCTGGATCAAGACCGACATCAGAATTGGCTAAGAAGGCCTTCGAGCTTGGATGGCTGACCTGGGCTGGACCACCTACGGTGGTCGAGCAGGACCAGGACTCTACATTCATGGGCGAGTTCGAGACACTGTGCAACGACCTCGGCCTGGCGATCAACAACGCGGCGCCAGAAGCTCACTGGCAAATGGGCAAGGTCGAGAAGAAGATACGTTACCTAAGGGAGATGGCGACGAGTGTCTTCAATGCTGGAGAAATTTGTGGTCAGGATTCAGTTGCAGCTGCAGTACGAGGCATGGCCAACGCGTGCAACCAGCTGGCTATCGCAGCGGGCTTTTCACCACAACAGTGGGCACTGGGAGCTGGACATCGACTACCTGCGAGTTTGGCGAATCCCGACAACGACCCAGCAGTAGTTTCCAGGGTAGCTGAAAGGACATCTTTCTGGAATCGACTGCACCTTCAGCAGATATGCTCGGAGTCCTTTTTCAAGGCAGCTAACTCATCTGCTTCGAGGCGGACAGTGCTGGCAAGGACAAGGCCCCAGCCAGGGCCCTTCCAGCAAGGTGATCTACTGATGTTCTGGCGATCGGACAATCTAACGAGAAACCTACATGCTCGATGGCATGGACTTGCCCAGTTCCTGGGCAAGGACGAGCATGGCTGCTGGCTGCTTCACAATCGGATCCCGATCCTGAGTTCACCAAGTTTACTACGGAAAGCGACTGAGCACGAGGTGACGACCATGCAGTTCACCGACCTGTTCTCAGACGGTGGGCCGGCCCGATCTCGAGCTGGACAGAGGGGCTCTATAGACCTTCGAGGGGAACAATACAATCCAGCACGAGCTGCTCAGCCGCCAGATCAACCACCAGATCAACAGACAAACCAACATCAAGATCAACAGCCTACAGAACGACAGCAAGACTATCATCAGCAGCTAGCTGGACAGCGAGACGCTCCACGACAGCAGCCAGTGCAAGGACAACCAGACACACCAGGAGCAGCACCAGCTCAAAGTGATGTGGGTCATCCGAAGCAGTCGGACAGCAGAAAGAGACGATCGGATGTGGTGCACGACGATGACATGATGCCGATGCGGCAGAGGCTGGACGATGAGTACGAACCGGCACCAGCTGATCAGGACCAAGCAGGGGAGGATTTA